AAAAAATTCCTAAAATACCCCGACCCTCCCCCTCCCCCTCCCAATTAAAAACGTACCTTCCCTTACTCCACTATAAAGAATCTATTTTCTCGGAAACGAGTGCCGGGACCCAACGATTTTTTTTTTTTTTTTCCATTTTGTTCGAATGCAGCAATCACCTTCTTTCTATACAGTAAATATATAGGCCAATTTCTATTGCAGAGTAAAAAGCTATCACTGAAAATAAAACATAGCTAGCACTCACAAAAAATAATATGTGCTCTTAAGAACACTGCGTGCCTGGAACATATTGAATGCCTGTCAGCTAAATGTGGGTGCCTTTATCATGAAACGCACATCAATTTGTTCCTTAACAATGATGCAGTACATCTATTGATGTTTTTCTCACTTAACTTTTCCCCCATTTTTCTGCTCTCACAAAGCGTAAAGTGAATGGTTGAAATACAAACGTTTCTGAAAGCAGATAATTTAAGGAATTATGGGGTTTATTGAAGGTCCCCCTGCTCCTAAACGATCCCCTTTTTTTTATTTCAAAATTTACGTTCTCTTGATGTAAGCAGCCGACAGGTAACATGAAGTTCGAAAGAAAATCTATTTAACAAATTGACGTCAGTTTTTCATGCGTCTGTCCTGTTATTGATCATGAAATTCGTCATAACATTGTCAAAGTAGCTGTGACTACTTTATACGATACAGTACAATACAATACAATGACCTTTATTTCACCTGAATTTAAAATAGCAAAATTGCTAATATCTTCGAGAAAATGAAGAAATGAATAAATAAAATAGGATGGATATGGAATAATAAAATAAGTATATAAAATTACAATATGTACATTAACGTAATTAATGCAATGGCATTAAACCATCTACAACTGTCTACAGAAGGGACAGCAGTCAGTGTCAAATTCTAAATTACAAATTGTCGATTTGAAAGCTGCAACTGTTGGCAGTGACCTGGTGGTATTGGGGAGGGAGTTCCATAGTTTACTTCCATAGTAAGGTAGAGAGTGCAGGTCATATCTAGTGGTATTAACACGAGGGATAACAAGAGAATGTCTACCACTGGTACGTAGATTTATTTTTAGACTTGAGAAAAGTGATGAAACAGTTAAGAACGAGAAGGAGCAATATTAAGATCGAACAACGTTTCGATGACTCCATTTTGATGACTCGATTTTAATATCGCTTCTTTTCGTTCTAAAATGTCTTGCGAAACCATAACTTATGATATTAGAAATAGTATAGTGACAGAATTTACCATATTAATTCAAAAATACCCAAATGTTCCGTACATACTGGCCTTATTACAGACGAAAACTAAATCCGTTTTGGGACGTTTTTCACACGCAACACTGCGTACTAATCAACCTCGAACTCGATCACGTCGTAAGCCGCCTAAGTAAGACTTTGTTCGATTCTGTTCGCAAGAACTATCGCGTGTCGACAGCTCATCAAACTAGATAATTTACATCCGGGCCTATTGCACTACCCCGCTATGGGAGCGAGCCGTACAGTGCGCTGAAGATAGCAACTAATGATATCGATCAAGACGGTTCTATGTTACGTGGCCTCTATAGGCGTGGTCTTTGAGCGACATGTAATGTCCGTTCTTCCATAAACTGTGGAGTCTACTGAGGAATAAAAAAATGTTGTTTTTCATTCCGTATTCTGCAATTGATCTCGGAATTTCGCGAAATACGTCGAGGACGTCAAATGTTTCGTTGATTTCGCTTTCGACGCTTTCCAATACGAATTTTACTGGCGCGTCTTTTATTTTGTGGACATTATGTTAACCAGCTGAGAATAAAGTGTAGCAGTCGCAAACTCAAAGCAGAGTGGAGTTCACAGAGGAAGCTCGATTTGCTGTTTCTTCATTCCGTATCCCGCCATTTTAACCCGGAAGCGTCCCGCATCTCGCTTGCCGAATAGTGCATTTTCCAATGTATGTTTCAACCAAGGTATCATCTATATCTCGCTATATTTTAAAACCATCCCCTTACCCTAAGCGCATGCGTGATTAGATCATTTTTTATCCAGGAATTTCGCAGAACACCTGAGTGTTTCGAAGCTTTCACTTTTCAAAGGCAACTCTACCGTTGTAAATGGCTAATCATATATTGTTCGCCCTCTCAATTGAGAATAAATGATATAGTTTCGATTCTCATAAAATCACAACACGAGGATTAATCGCAAATGGTTTCTCTTGTCACGAGAATGGGAATGAAGAAATATAATAGGGCAAGAATTATTAGTTTTTCTTCTAAAAGGCGCTTCATTTGTCTTTAAAGCACGTCAGCCGTTCTGTTACAGGAAACTGAAAGTCTAATTCCAACAAGAAGTTAGCAAAAACACACCTTAGAATTTTTTTTCTCTGTTTTGCACAAATCAATTTGTATAAAGCTGACACTGCAGCTGCCCCGAAACCTTTTTTACAGAATTACGCGCGCTTGATTGCTGCATTTCTTAAACACTGGGAAACTGCGATACTCAACAATTTTCATCCAGGAGACGAAACAATTACGCACGAGATGTGTTAACAATCATTGAAACTATTGCAGACCAATCAACCCCTGATAAAGGGAAATCTGAATACCACGGGAAAAAAATCTGGAGAGATTCTACCAAAAAAATATATAGTGAGATTCGATTTCCTTCCGATTTAAGTATTAACGAACCTTTCCTTTCGAGTCTTTCTCGCCATTTTGATCCGATTGTGATCGCTTTCCTGCGCCTCGCGTGTCGCAGCTTGCCAAGACTACCGGGAAACACAGCATGAAATCGAGGTCCGGTTAATGGTTAACTTTGATCTGTCTCCAAAAACTGGTAGGTAAAAAATTCATTAAATGTCATGGCGATTAACTACAGTGTTCTCCTTTGCAATGAATATATGAAAGATCATATATTTGAACTGTGGAGAAACATGCAGAGACATCGCAGTTATATACAACTTAAGCGGCTGCGAAATTAAAGCCTGAAAAAAAAAAAATCAGGTTTGAACTAAAACTCGCTAGCTCGCAAAGACAGAAAGCAACGCTTGAGTGCAAAACCCAGACCCTAGAGCCTGCACGCAGGCTATAACAGGACAACTAACTCCACCGTCATGAAACATTTGAACACCTTTTATGTTCTCGCGCTAACGAGTGGATTTAGGACTCTAATATTCTTAACGGTGACATTTCTTTCGGGGGTTTCTTAATAATGATAACACAAGGTGAGGTTAAGTCTGAGTTGCGCTTTAAGTGCAAGAGCTTATATTGGTTTACGTAGCGTTAACCGACTAGAACTGTATTTCTGCTTCCACATAGACTGGGTGCTATTGTCTATAGCAGGGTTAACCCCTGGCCGATTAAATTTGAAGGCACTAATTTGTATACCTAGGCGGGAAAAGGCTAAAGAGTGTGATTTTATTCTAAATTAACATAAGGCTTAATTCGTCAGGTTATCAATTTGCATGGTTTGGAGACGCAGAAGCCATGAATAACATAGAAGACAAGACATTTTGCGAGCCATTTTTGTTGGCTTGGCAGTTGCTATCTTCCTTCTCAACACTGGCCGTGGTCTCAAAGCCATTATTGAGGTCTGCGAAGAATGTTTGATTGTCCTAAACAGCGAAGTGCTGAAAAAAGAAGAACAAATTTTCAATTTAGTTAACGTTGCTATATATAGAATGATGTTCACGGTGTATTGGTTCGTCCTTGATGACACAAATACAAAAAACTATAGCTTGAAACTTCTTGAAATTTACCGTGAGTGTGCTGAAATAGCGGAAGAAGGGAATCTTACGTTAACTCTGGCCAACATTTGTGAACAACACTTTAGATTCGCAGAAGTAAGAGAACTTTACAAGAGAGGGATGGGCATCATGCGAGAAAACGGTGACAAAAATGGGGAAGCACATGTTTATGTGGGGTTTGGAACCATGTCCTACTATCTCGGTGAATATGACAAAGCAATAGAATATCTTGAGAGAGCACTAGCTATTACAATAGAAATTGGGGACAGGAAAGGTGAAGCAAGCTGTTGCGGAAACTTAGGAGCTGTGTGTAAATCCCTTAGTAAATATGACAGAGCTAAAGAATATCTAAAAGAAGCACTTGCCATGACATTAGAAACTGGCGATAGAAACGGAGAAGCAAGCTGTCGCGGAAACTTAGGAGTTGTGTTTCAACATCTTGATGAACATGACAAAGCTACAGAGTACCATAAGAGAGCCCTAGCCATCAAAACAGAAATTGGGGAGAGAGAAGGGGAAGCATGTTGTTATGGAAACTTAGGAACTATATTTACATCTGAAAGTGAAGAATGATCATCGCAGTTAATTTTCCAATTTAAGCAACTGGAAAGAAGAAGCCTGAAAAAAATCAGGGCTTCAACGGGATTCGAACC